GAAAGTCGAAGTATATATTTTACTCGATACAAACTCTTTTTTATTGAAGATCCACTATAATAATGAGAAAGATTTCTGCATATACACACAAATCGGTCGATAATATCAGAATCCGATGAATCAGTCCGGACCGGTTTACTAATGGGATGTCCTACTGCCTTACAAAATTTCGTTTTTGACAATGATCCAATCAAAGGAATAATTGGAACTATTGTATCGAGTTTCTTCATAGTATTATCTTTATCTATTAGAAATGAATTTTCTAGCATTTGACTTCGTACGACCGAAGGATTTAATTTTACATTTGAAAGATAGCCCAAAAGGTTGAGAGAATGCTTGGATAATGAATTTATATAGATCTTTTCTGGTTGAAACCACACATAAAAATGACATTGACATAAATTGACAAGGTAATATTTCCATTTTTTCATCAGAAGAGGCCCATCTTTTGAAGCCAGAATGGATTTTCCTTGATATCTAACATAATGCATGAAAGGATACTTGACCAACCATAGGATAGTCTGAAAATCATTAGCAAAGACTTCTGCAAAATGTTCTATTTTTCCATAGAAATAAATTCGTTCAAGAAGGACTCGAGAAAATGTTGATCGTAAATGAAAGGATTGGTTACGAAGAAAAAAGAGGATTGATTCGTATTCATATACATGAGAATTATATAGGAACAAGAAAAATCTTGGATTACTTTTTGTAAAAATAGAAATAGATCCCTTTTGAATAATAAGACTGTTCCTATTCCAATATTCATGAAGAAAGAGTCGTAATAAATGCAAAGAAGAGGGATCTTTCATCCAATAGCGAAGGGTTTGGACTAATTTTTCTATATGGATGGGGTAAGGTATTAATACATCTGACACATAAATTAAATGTGGAAATTTGTCCTCTAAAAAAGGAAATATTGAATGAATTGATCGTAATTTATGAGATTTAACTATCTCCGACCTTTCTAAAGAAGATACTAACCGTAGAGAAAATGGAATTTCCACAATAACTGCAAAGCTCTCTGATATCATTTGATAATACAAATTCTTGTTGTACTTAAAAAATGAATTTTGGTTAGAATCATTAGCAGAAAAAGAAAAAAAAACCAAACGATTCTGTTGATACATTCGAGTAATTAAACGTTTTACAATTAAGAAACTAGATTTATTGTCATAACCTACATTTTCCAACAAAATCGATCTATTTAAACTATGATCATGAGCAAATATATAAATATACTCCCGAAAGATAAATGGGTATAGGAGGTCATTTTTTCGAGATCCATCTAGTTCTAAATATCTTTGATATTTCCACATGTATTAGATTTGATTGAAGCAAGGATAGAGGATTTTTATTGAGTTGGTTATAAAATGATACATAGTGAATGATACATAGTGCGATACAGTAAAAACAAATGTAGTATAATAAGCAAAGAGTAGATACCTCGGAAATAGATAAACTCATTATCATTAACGGGCTCCCCACCCTCTTCTTTTTTCCATCTAATTTGTTTATGTGCATTATAGGATAGGATAAAAAGATGATTAGAAATCCTTTATTTTTTCAAGTCAATCGCTCTTTTGATTTTGGAAAAAATCTCTTTATCAATATACTCTTTCTTCTACACATTCGTCTCCCCTTCATAGTGGAGAATAGCTAATAGTTAGGACTCATTAAAAGAAAATAGAAAATCTGCTTATAGAGAAACCTTTCCCGCATTAGGTACTAATTTATTTTTAACGTCTAATTAGATCGGATAATCGTTCAAATTAAGAACGTAAGCTCGTTGCTTTTTTGTTTCCCTATAATTGGAATCGTAGGACTCTATCCATTTATTAACTCGACCGAACTTTGAATTCATTTTTTTATGTTCCGCATCAAATCAAGAATTCAAATAAGGTTGGACCGATCCGGCAAAAATGAAATATTCGCAGAATTCTCCATTGATACGACATGCTGTTTTTTCCATTCATTCCTTTCAGGATCAGTCGTGGTCTTACAAACTATACCGACGGTATGGACGAATCCCTTTCTTCATACAAACGTGTAAAAGAAGTTAGCCGCACTTAAAAGCCGAGTACTCTACCGTTGAGTTAGCAACCCCCCCAAAAAAAAATTATTATTATTATTATTATTATTATTATTAAAAATATATATATATATATTTTATACGTATATATATACATTTTCTATTTTATTTTTATATTTATAAAATTATAAAATTTTTATATAAAATGTATAATATAATAAAATAATAAAATGTATAATATAATAAAATAGAAAAAGAAATAAAAGAATTTTTTTTTTTTTTATTTTTTTTAAGTGAATTTTAAATTTCTATTAGAATTTAGAATTCTATTAGAATTTAGAACATTTTTTTTCAATCAAACAAAACTTTTGTATCACAAAAAATCCAAGAAACCCATTACTTGAATAAAGAAAAAAACCAAATCTATGGAACAGAAATCTATGGAAAGAGAAATTTATGGAACAGGGATAAATAGATCCACAGATAAGATCCAATTATCTCAGATCGGATTATATTTATTTGATACACTGTTGTCAATATGAGTGTGAATATACTGAAAAAAAATCGATTTTTTCGTTATGTTAGCAGTCTATAGGTATGAATAGAGTATGAATAAAAGAAGAAAAGGGGGGGATAGTAGAGAAAAGGTTATACAAAGCTATATATGTATACGAATTACCCGCACCCTTTATTTCATTATTCATTATTTATTTCATTATTCATTAAGTAAATTGTGTTTGATTAAGGCGAAGTTCCGTAAAAACCCCTGCCTTCCTTTAAGATAAAGAAATAAGTTTTTTTGAATCTTCAAGTGACTCCATAGAATGGATTCGCCTATCTCATATTTCTTAGAGTTCCAAGGACTCATAAAAAACCATTCAAAATATTGAATTTATATTTCATTTTGAAATTGCCTATCTCGATATCATTATTTGAATAAAGTTTTATTTTACAGTAAGAAACACATTTATTTTATCATCATAAGAGAAAAAACCCCCCATATTGATTAAACCATCAACGATTTAAAACAAATAAATGGGTTATCCCATTTTTTTTTTAGTGTAGTGGTGGATAAAAAGACTAATGTAAGGAAAATTGGAAGTTATTATTCTTTCCTACTGAATGCTAAAATCAGAATCGAAATACTAGAAAGTCATCTTATTTATCAGATAGACTAAAGAATTGTCACTGAAACTAATTATGGATATTCTATGTTAAATATTTAAATTAAGTAAATTAAGTAAATATTAAAATTAAGTAATAAAATTAAGTAATATAATAAGTAAAGAATCACCATTTTTTTTTTACATTACAAAAAAGGAAACAAAAGTGTTAATAAGCTAAGAATACATACATATAAGCATTTCCTCATTTTATGAGTAGTTTATTTGACTTGACTTGAGTCTTTCTAAAATTTTTCCTAAAGTTAAAGTAAAGTGAATAAGATATATGAATCAACTCTGTCTTAATTGTTAGATAGATTTAGAATTATTCATTTTAGAATTCGAATTTTTTATTAAAGCTAAAGACAAAATATCTTAAAACGAAGTTAGTAAAAAAAAAATACATATGTTTCGTATGTCTTTTCTTTATTTGTTAATAAAGATTTTAACAGGCACAGACATTGAAATTGATATCTTCCATTAAAAATTAACTCCTATCTACTCCCCCAATTGTATGAGAAGTGATGAATGATAAATCAAATAAGGAAGAATCCTTTTTTTTATATAGAATATCTGGGACGGAAGGATTCGAACCTCCGAATAGCGGGACCAAAACCCGATGCCTTACCGCTTGGCCACGCCCCATTTATATTTCTATTCAACACTAATAAAAACTAATATTGGTATTGGTTCTTCGTCAATTCCCACCAAATATCTAGGAAATATATTAGCTTATTATCCGGATTTTGGTATGTGTAGATATAGAATTAAACTGAATTTATTGATCATAATATATAATTCAATTAAGATATTGTATAAAAACAGGATTTCCTCTATTCTTTTTTGATTTGAGAATTGAGGGATTTTTGATTGGGTGAGTTTAATAAAGAAGGATTTTTTATCTACCTGACTTTATTTTCTATCCATTTTTATATGAATAACATATTAATAACTCAGTCAAAATAAAAATACAATTATCTTCAAGAACAAAATGTTTGTTATGCTTAATATTTTTAGTTTAATTTGCATCTGTCTTAATTCTGCCCTTTATTCAAGCAATTTTTTCTTCACAAAATTGCCCGAGGCCTATGCCTTTTTGAATCCAATCGTAGATTTTATGCCAGTAATCCCTGTACTCTTTTTTCTATTAGCCTTTGTTTGGCAAGCTGCTGTAAGTTTTCGATGAGATCTTTAATACTGTCCTAAAATAATTCATGATTTATTCGACAAAAAAATTATAGCAATTGATAAGATCAGATAAGTCTTAGAGTATAAACTCTTAATCTTAATTCAAACATTGAAATTGTTGTATAAACGCGACAATTCTGGATAACCCAATTTTTTTTTCTTCATTCTGCACTTTTTTTCAATTTCAGATCCTATTAGAGTCCTAATTGTAGTTATGAAAAAAATATCTAATTTTCGGTATGTCTAATTTTCGGTATGAAAAAAAATTTTAGCAATAAAAGACTCGACTCTTATTACAAATGAATTTCGAAAAATTTCTAGAAATCACTGCATTTCTTGGTGTTAAAATAGAATATGTGGTATAAAAACAGAGAATCTATTTTTTTTCCAAACCAAAAAAGATCTTGGAGATTTTATAATGCTTACTCTCAAACTCTTTGTTTACACAGTAGTGATATTCTTTGTTTCTCTCTTCATCTTTGGATTTTTATCTAATGATCCAGGACGAAATCCTGGACGTGAAGAATAAAATTTGCTAAATTTGAACGAAAAGATACAAAAAATTCCAAGTCATCGCCGAGACCGGAAAGAGAGGGATTCGAACCCTCGGTACGAATAACTCGTACAACGGATTAGCAATCCGACGCTTTAGTCCACTCAGCCATCTCTCCCGATTTTTAAAGGATAATTACTATGTTATATTACAGAACAAGTAACACTTGAAAATGGAAAAAAGGATTTTTTATTACTTTTCTCTTTATTACTTTCATAATTACTTTTTTTCATAATTACTTTTCTATTCTTTTATATATCTATATATGTCTATTTAATTTAATATATGCTATTTAATATAATTAGTTAATATAATATTATAATTAGTTAATATAATATTTGTTAATATAATATTGAATTAGTTAATCTAATAATAATATTTTATTGAATGTATTGAATATTAATATTTTGAAAATAGATTCTAAATCTAGATATTAAATATGTAAATATTAAATATTTAATAAATACTAAAATACTAAGATATTCAATATTAAATATAGAGATAATTTTCTATTTTATTCAATTTTCTATTTTATTCTTTTATTCTAATTTTTTCATTTTTTTAGTTTAGAATTTTTTTAGAATTGAATTTCTTTTAGAATTCAATTTCTTATTATTTTCTTATTATTTATATTCTTATTTATATTATTTTTATATTCTTATTTATATTATTTTATATTCTTATTCATATTATTTATATATTTTTATTATTTATATATTTTTCTATTTATATATTTTTCTATATATAGAGATAATTTTATTTCTTATAGGAAATTTCTTATAGGAATATATTCTTATAGAATTCTTATATATATTATTTTTATATTAATATATTAATTATTATTTATATATATATTATTTTTATATATATTATATATTATTTATATATATTCTATTTATTTATATATATTCTATATTATTATATATTATTTATATATTATTTTATTATTTTTATATATATATATATTATTTATATATATATATATAATATAATATTATATATGATAATATAATATTATATATGAGTATATAATTTATATTAGTATATAGTTTATATTAGTATATAAATAGTATATAATTTAATATATATAAATAGTATATAATTTAATAATACTAATATTATAAATAATACTAATATTATAATATAATAATACTAATATTATATTCCCTTATAATATAATACTTGTAATATAATATAACTTGTAATATAATATAATTTATAATATAATAATACTAATATTATATTCACTTATAATTATAATATAATACTTGTAATATAATATAATACAACTTCACTTATAATACAACTATAATACAACTAACTATAATAGAATACAACTATAAAATAAAACAACTATAAAAAAAAAGAAACTAAATATTAAAGAAAATATATAAAAAAAAAATGCTCAATTGTCTTACTCGACAAAAGATTCATTTATATACAATAATCACATCGTAGCGGATATAGTTTAGTGGTAAAAGTGTGATTCGGTTTATTAATTATTAATTCTAATAGTCTAATAGTTAAGGGATCCCTCGGTTCATATTCCGATGAAAAACTTTATTTCTTAAAAAGATTTAATCCTTTACCTCTCAATGAAAAATTCGAGGAAGAATATACATTCTCGTGATTTGTATCCAAGAGTCAATTAGAAATTGAGAAATTGGATTATGAAATTACGAAACATAATTTTTTTTATTTGATCAATACTTTAAAATGAATGAGTATGAGTAAAGGATCTATGGAAAAAGACAGAAAAGTGTATTTCTAATCGCAACTAAATCTTCAATTTTTCTTTGTTTTGTTTTGTATAGTCGAGATTGAAGCAAAATAAGTATTTAAAGGATGTCTTTAGTTTACTATAAGACATCGACTTCTTTTTTTAGCTCGGTGGAAACAAAATGCTTTTCCTAAGGATTTTTTCAAATAGAAATAGAGAACGAAGTAACTAGAAAGATTATTAAAATCCCACTCATCTAGAGGGATCATCTAGAAAGCGCCTTGTTTTGAATACATTAAGACAGAAAAGCTGACATAGATGTTATGGGTCAATTTTTTTTTCGCTCGCCCCTTATAGCTGGATAGCTGGAAATTTTCCAGATTCCATAAAGGAGCCGAATGAAACCAAAGTTTCATGTTCGGTTTTGAATTAGAGACGTTAAATTAAAGATGATGAATCAACGTCGACTATAACCCCTAGCCTTCCAAGCTAGCGATGCGGGTTCGATTCCCGCTATCCGCTTATATCCCTATACTCTCTAAAAAATAGAGATACTATATATTCTAAATTTATATATAAAAATTTATTTATATAATAATATTTAAATATATAATAATATTTAAATATATATTAAATATATAATAATATATTCTAAATATATATTAAATATATAATAATATATTAATTAAATATTATAATAAATATAATAATTAATATATTAATTAAATATATAATATTAATTAAATATATAATAATATATTAAAGAAATTTAAAATATATAATTCCAATTTTAAAATATATAAATATTTTAAAATATATAAATATAATAAAGATTAAAATAATAAAG